TGTGTGCAATAATAGTGTTTGACATGATTTTTGAATGACTACCTCATCTCTATACCTCACACATACAATGATCTGTTAAACACTATTATTGCACACAGTGAGTCCATTCAAGTACCTCAGTCGAGCAGTGAATTTCAAACACAGATTCAACCACAAAGATCAAGGAAGTTTTCCAATGCCTCGCTAAGGGCACCTGTTGGTAGCAGACATTGAATATCCCTTTGAGCATGGTGAAATTATTAATTACACTTTGGATGGTGTATCAATACAACCAGTCACTACAAAGATACAGGCGTCCTTCCTAACTCAGTTGCTGGAGAGGAAGGAAACCGCTCATAGAATTCATCATGAGGCCAATGGTTACTTTAAAACAGTTACAGAGTTTAATGGCTGAAATTAGGAGACAGCTGAGGATGGATCAACATTGTAGTTATTCCACAATACTAACCTAATTGACATAGTGAAAAGAAGGAAGCCTGTACAGAATACAAAAATTCCAAAACATGCACCCTGTTTGCAAGAAGGCACTAAAGTAATACTGCAAAAATTGTGGCAAAGCAATTAACTTTTTGTCCTGAATACAAAGTGTTATGTTTGGGGAAAATCCAATACAACACATTTGTGAGTACCAGTCTCCATTTTTTGTTATGGGTATGCTTGTAGTCATTAAGGACTACAGAGTTTTTCAGGATAAAAAATTAATGGAATGGAGCTAAGCCTAGAGGAAAACCTGGTACAGTCTGCTTTCCACCAGACACTGGGAGATGAATTCGCCTTTCAGCAGGACAATAACCTAAATCACAAGGCCAAATCTACACTGGAGTTGCTTACCAAGAAGACAGTGTTCCTGAGTGGCCGAGTTACAGTTTTAACTTAAATCGGCTTTAAAATCTATGGCAAGACCTGAAAATGGTTGTCTAGCAATGATCAACAACCAATTTGACAGATTTAGAAAATAATAATGGGCAAATGTTGCACAATCCAGTGGTAGAAAGCTCTTAGAGACTTACCCAGAAAGACTCACAGCTGTAGTCACAGCCTAAGGCGATTATAACATGTATTGAGGATGTTGAATTCTTTTTATTTTACCTTTATTTAACTAGGCAAGTCAGTTAAGAACAAATTCTTATTTACAATGACGGCCTACACGGCCAAACCCGGACGACGCCCTATGGGACTCCCAATCACGGCCGGTTGTGATACAGCCTGGAATCGAACCAGGGGGTCTGTAGTGACGCCTCAAGCACTGAGATGCAGTGCCATTAGACTGCTGCGCCACTCGGGAGCCCATATATATATTTTTCATTTATTTTTTGACATTACAGATTTATTTTGTGTAGATTGTTGGAAAAAAAAAAGACACTTAAATCCATTTTAATCCCACTTTGTAACAACAAAATGTGGAAAAAGTTAAGGGGTGTGAATACTTTCTGAAGGCACTGTATCTAGAGCCGTATCGAATCGTCTTGAAAGGGAAAGGTGCACAGTAAACTTGGAATCGCAAGATATGTTGTGTGGTCCTACCACTACATCTCGGGAAACCATGCAGTTTATTAGACTACAGATGAAATAAGTTATGATGATGATAATAATAATAATAATAATATGCCATTTAGCAGACGCTTTTATCCAAAGCGACTTACAGTCATGTGTGCATACATTTTTACGTATGGGTGGTCCCGGGGATCGAACCCACTACCCTGGCGTTACAAGCGCCATGCTCTACCAATTGAGCTACAGAGGACCACGATGAACTTCACAGGGTGGTGGAAGTGCTCAGTGATGAACTTGATGCTCCTTTCCAATAAGTCTGGTGACCTGATGGTCGAAGCTTGACTGCCATTTGAAAAATAAAAATCCATAGTCATCCCACACTGTATCTGCGAGCTGTTGTTGGCTAGAGCGCACGTGCCAAGACCAGAGTAGGCACATTTGCTATTTAACGCAACCGTTTTTGTGACTAAACTATCGGTTTAGTTGAAAAAGCGATGGAAACACATTGAACTTTCAATTTTTATTCAGTACATGAAAACTTTAGCGAAAAATTAATTTTTGTGTGCACTACGTCATCATGCACTGATGTCTTTCCGCAAAAAGTCTGTTTGGTGGAAACACCACTGGTGGGAAAATATGCATATTTTCATGAAAATCTGTTGCCATTTGGATGGAAACCTAGCTACTGATAACAAAGAGAAACTAAATATATATTTTTTACTTTTCACTTTTATTACATAGTGGCGCTCTTACATTCTTTGGGGAGAACCCTGCTCTGCTCTCACGTAGAGCCCTATAGAATCCGCGATGCAGACGGAATCACGGAATCCAGACATTAAAACGGAATTAAACAATATAATTTTTTTTATTGAACTTATTATAAAATGTATTATATGCCCAAGAGTATGATAAGACATGAAAAAAATGCATAGGTATTTTCCCTTAACTTTATGTACACCGGGCGAATTTCTACAAGATCAACTAAGAATGATATGTCCAGCAGTAGATGTATTAGAGTAAGCTGTCAAGAATCCAGTGTATAAATTCTGGCAGATGGAAAGGCTTTCCCAACTACAAAGTAGTCTATGGTATAGCCTCCCCTTGGAGATCAGGCAAAGGAAAAGTAGAAATAGCTTTAAAAAGCAGGCAAAGGTTTTCATTTGGACAAGGTTGTCTAAGTAAGAGAAACCACTCCACTGCCCTTTGTGACCCCTACTGCTGGTCAGGTGTATTTATGTGAATGATAGGTATGATGTGCAATGAATAGATTGTTTTAATGTGAAATTATTATGGTAGATTTTTAAGGTTAGGGAAGAGTGCAGTGAATAGTGCCACTTTTTAGGATGTCAATATAAATGAATGTATTTATGATTGTTTGTAATTTTGTCTTGACTTTTAATCATTATATGTGTTATTGTTTTTACCATCGAGGACCACTTTGGAAACAGGCGTTTTAATTCATACTTTCAAGTGATATCCTCTGGGTCCACATTGTACATTTTGTTGTATATGTCTGTTACCCAAAATAAATTCAATTCAATATGCCTACCTGGCAGAATGATATCCTGATTATTTTCACAAATCCAGTGGTGATTTATTTAGCAAACTCTGCAATTACATGCGCGCTACAGAAACACAGGTAACCAAGCAAGTCTCTTGCTGGTGCACGCTTGATTTAAAGGGTATCTACAGCCAAAACATTTCTTACATTTTTCCCAGACCTCAAAAGTCTCCTGATGTGGTTTAAGCAATCTTGTGGATTAAGAACATCTAATTTTGTTGTATTTTTCCATTTTTAAAAAGTGTGATTTTGAGAGTGAACCTGAAAAACTGAGAAAAATCTGAAACTTGGAAAAACTAAACCGAGAAAATTGAATTTGGGGAAAAACTAAACAGAATTAGGCAAACATTTGAAATGTATTTTATAAGGCCCTACATGCTTTTCTTACTAGTCACCCGCTGAATCCAATGAGTTGAACCATGTCCTTCCCTGGAATTTAAGCCTAGGTTTTTAGTTAGTGTCAGCATAACAGCAGTATATGGCAGGCAGCACATCTCACTATTCTCCATATCCATGTTATGTTGTTGATTTTGAATGTGTGAGTCTGTAGTTTACACAGTGATTGGCCTGTATTGTACTTGAGAGAGATTCCCCACGAAACCAGGACCAAAAAAATGTCATGATTTTGGGGATTTTCATGAAATTTTATCCAGAATGGTCATTTCAAGGAAGGATTGTTGACATTATATTTGACATTTGTATGTAAAATCATAATTGACAAATAATTAATCAAAGTTAGCATATTTATTACATTTCGGCTTTATCCAGGCCTCCTTTAAGACTCTCTAAGACTAATTATGCTTTGATACAAATGTCAAATATATGTCAGCAATCCTTCCTCCAAAAGAACATTCTATGGATTAAATTATGTAAAAATCCCCCAAATCATGGTATTGTTTGTCCTGGTTTTGTGAGGAATCACTCATGAAGTGTGTGTTATTGACGTACTGTAAAGCACCTAGCCGTTGCCTTTGTGTGAGCTGCTCCCATGTTTGTTCATCTTATTACTCCTTTGTTGGGAAGGGGAAGGATAAAACAAATAGCCTCCTGTACGGTTCTTGACCCTCCACCAAAACCTTATGTTGCACTTTTCTTCATGTTACACACGTTGTCACATCCTTTCTCTTTCTCCGCTCTGTTTCCCTCTGTTCTCCTCTTCCTGTAAGTGTAGCTAGCTACTAGACTCAGGAATCAAAATGGTGGTTCAGTTCACTGGGGAGCTGGGAAAAGAAACTGACGTTTTTTTCTTTAGAAAATTAGACTCTAATTGAGCCGGGTTTGAACATATTTGGGGGAATCATTTCCTACTGCTCAGTCAAGTCAAGATTTGTATTGGTTAAAGATAGTACAGTCACAAAGCCTAGTCATACAGCCCAGTTGTGATGGGTGTCAGGGGGATCATGTGGGATCATGTGAACTGCCCTAGGGGATGCATGAGAAGGCCGTAGAGCAGAGCTGCATTGAGATGGAGGCGAACAACAGTCAGTGTGTTTACTGTAGGCCTATAATAGGCTGATTTAGTTTCTTATTTGCATATTGCCATGGAGATGATGCATATTGCCACTTTGTTTTGTATGACACTTGATTTTGCATCACCATGGCTTTACCTTGCATTCTCTTACTTTGCAGACGATAAGTTTTATATTCTACTTCACTGAAATTAATAAGACACAACTTTCAATGCAAAATATGGATGGGATTTTCTTATTTTATCTCTCTCTCACAAAACTTTTTCCCCCTTTCTCTATCAACAAAACTAGCTCACGGTTGCCTCCCTCTGGTGGTTATTTGTAACTGCACAAGCTCAGTCTATGCTCCCTAGCCTCCCTGTAGGAGTTCTTGATACATTCCCAAATAATTCCCCTACCATTTTTCTTGAGACTACTACGGGTGAAATAAAAAATGCTCGGCCTCATTTCATCATGACTTTTCCTTTTCCTTTTCTAGGTGATTTATCTCATTTCCCTCCATTCATGAGCTTGACTTGGTTTAGCTGTCATGGATGACAAAGCCTCGGTGGGGAAAATTAGCGTGTCGTCCGACTCAGTGTCCACCCTGAACAGTGAGGACTTTGTGCTGGTGTCGCGGCTGGGGGACGACACCCCAGGCTCCTCCACTAATAATGGTAGCGATGACGAAAAGACAGGACTCAAGGTAAGAAGAAATAAAGAGTGCCTGGCTGAGTGGACAAAACTCTGACATCTGGTGAGTTCCCAATTCACTCTCTCCCTTCCCCTTCACCTTGGCTCTACGCCCCTAACCATGTGATGTTTGCACTGCAGATCTAAAGTGCTTGGGTAGGTTTAAGGCTGTAAGCAATGTAGTGATGGAAGTTTCCTCCACCATATTGCTTAGGCTAGCCCTACCCCTTGCAGATCTACAAAGTGCAAATAAAGAAAGGGTTAAAGCCAAGGGAAAGGGAGGGAATTGGGACAGGTGTGAAACACTCTTGATAGTCTTGATTTCTTCATAGTCAACTCACCTGAATACCAAGGTGGTTCAGTGGTTCATTGAAAGATAACCGCATCAATGGAGCGTCATCATACTAGCAGCAGACACGTCTGCCTTCTCTCACCACTGATGTTAAATGACCAGGGAATCAATCCAGTGTCATCACCCTATTTGACTAAAGCTCTCATCCCCATTCCAATGCAATCACTCACATACTGTAACTAATCATCTGACTAAGAAACCCATTCCATGCGTTTCCCCTTTTAACTACAACTAAGCTAACACCTCTGTTATTTGAAGATTTGCCCTCCCATTTGTCTGTTGTGGGTATACTGTTCATGTGGGTCTGTGTACCATGAGCAACTGTCTAAGGGAAAACTACCTTACAGTGCATTTAGAAAGTATTCAGACCCCTTTACTTTTTCCACATTTTGTTACGTTACAGCCTTATTCTAAAATGGATTAAATAGTTTTTCCCCCTCATCAATCTACAAATAATACCCCATAATGACAAAGCAAAAACAGGTTTTTAGAAATGTTGGCAAATTTATTAAAATTAAACAACTGAAATATACAATTTACATAAGTATTCAGACCCTTTACTCAGTACTTTGTTGAAGCACCTTTGGCAGCGATTACAGCCTCGAGTCTTCTTGGGTATGACGCTACAAGCTTGGCACACTTGTATTTGGGGAGTTTCTCCCATTCTTCTCTGCAGATCCTCTCAAGCTCTGTCAGGTTGGATGGGGAGTGTCACTGCACAGCTATTTTCAGGTCTCTCCAGAGATGTTCGATCGGGTTCAAGTCCGGGCTCTGGCTGGGCCACTCAAGGACATTCAGAGACTTGTCCCGAAGTCCACTCCTGCATTGTCTTGGCTGTGTGCTTATGGTCGTTGTCCTGTTGGAAGGTGAACCTTCGCCCCAGTCTGAGGTCCTGAGCGCTCTGGAGCAGGTTTTCATCAAGGATCTCTCTGTACTTTGCTCCGTCATCTTTCCCTCGATACTGACTAGTCTCTCAGTCCCTGCCACTGAAAAACATTCCCACAGCATGATGCTGCCACCACCATGCTTCACCGTAGGGATGGTGCCAGGTTTCCTCCAGACCTGACGCTTGGCATTCAGTCCAAAGAGTTCAATCTTTGTTTCATCAGACCAGATAATCTTGTTTCTCATTGTCTGAGAGTCCTTTAGGTGCCTTTAGGCAATTTCCAAGCGGGCTGTCAGGGGACTTTTACTGAGGAGTGGCTTCCGTCTGGCCACTCTACTATAAAGGCCTGATTGGTGGAGTGCTGCAGAGATGATTGTCCTTCTGGAAGGTTCTCCCATCTCCACAGAGGAACTATGAAGCTCTGTCAGAGTGACCATCGGGTTCTTGGTCACCTCCCTGACCAAGGCCCTTCTCCCACGATTGCTCAGTTTGGCCGGGCGGCCAGCTCTAGTAAGAGTCTTGGTGGTTCCAAACTTCTTCCATTTAAGAATGACGGAGGCCATTGTGTTCTTGGGGACCTTCAATGTTGCAGAAATATTTTGGTACCCTTCCCCAGATCTGTGCCTCGACACAATCCTGTCTCGGAGCTCTACAGACAATACCTTCGACATCATGGCTTGGTTTTTGCTCTGACATGCACTGTCAACTGTGGGACCTTATATAGACAGTTGTGTGCCTTTCCAAATAATGTCCAAACAATTGAATTTACCACAGGTGGACTCCAATCAAGTTGTAGAAACATCTCAAGAATGATCAATGGAAACGGGATGCACCTGAGCTAAATTTTGAGTCTCATAGCAAAAGGTTTGAATACTTATGTAAATGTGATATTTCGGTTTTCACTTTTGTCATTATGGGGTATTGTGTGTAGATTGCTGAGGATAATGTTTTATTTAATCCATTTTAGAATAAGACTGTAACGTAACAAAATGTGGAAAAAGTCAAGGGGTCTGAATACTTTTCGAAGGCACTGTACATATTCACTAGCCTATATTTACAGTGTCAGTACAGCGCTGTCTCTCCATTTAAGAGGAAAGGAAGCCGATAATGTACTACTTTAAATAATCATGAATAATGTACTCTAGCCTATCGGGAGGATGGAGCTTCGTCTAAACCAGTCATCCTGTGTCTCTCATATTGGGTCAGGTTACACGGACAGACAGTCAGGCTCTCATTACACTCCTCTAGCTGGGCCATTCACTAGCGATGGGGGGAAAAATCGATACGGTTACATATTGGGATATTCTTTTTGGCTATGTATCGTTTTGACAATATCGCAATATTATTTTTGCACTAGTTGGCTGTACCTGCACCAAAACGGCAGTATTTTTACTTCATAGCTTGTTCTCCATCTTCTTTTTAACTATGGAGCCAATTCGTTTTCAGCACTTTTATTTCCATGACTGATCAGAACTCGTTTTCTCATGGCTCTCTCTTGTCCCTCATGGTGAGCAATATGTTTGGAACATCAAATCGCAATAAAATCACGGAATCAAATCGCAATACATATAGAATCGCAAAAAATATCGTATCGGCACCTAAGTATTGTGATCATGTCGTAGCGTGAGGTCCCTGGCAATTCCCAGCCTACTATTCACCCTGTGGTGCTCAACTGCCTGCGGGCTGGCTGGCTGGCTGGCTGGGTGGGGGAATTATTGTCCATTTAAGTATTTAATCTCTCCCCCCCTCTCTCTTTTTCTCAGTTTTTTTTCTCTCTCTCCATGCTAACAAACACTCTTGATGCACAGGTTATTAGACTATAGGTCATATGTTCCTTCAGTTAAATCATTCTTTCATTCTTCTATGTATTTGTCCCCTAATGTAAAAATTTAATATTTAAAAAATAATATATATATATATTATAATAATATGTTAATGTTAGTTTACCCTTAAATGTTGTAATTTTATTTGTTGCCTCTCTGGATGTAGACCCACTCACACTGTACTTCCTTCTGATGTGGTAGTGATCGAAAGACACCAGCAGGTGGTGGTAGTGGACTGCTGAAATTACTTTACCTAATAAGTTAGGGGTAGGCTGCTCAATTTCCTTGAGTTGAGGTAGAAGAGTATATTTAGACTAGCCTAAGAAAACTATGCACATCACCACCATATACATTAAATCCATCAGTTGAATTTATTAGAAAACTAAATAATTTTCTTCGTACACTCCTCCCCAAGCCCACACAAGGTAGTTGAAGAGGGGTGTAGCACAGGGTGTCTAAATGTGTTGTTTATTACGCAGGTGATTTCTGAGGAAGGGGTCAGCTTTAAGGTCAGTTTCTATCTCACTCTTTCTCTCTTTCTTTCATCCTCTCTCTATCTGTGCTGTGATTCTGTGGTGACACTGTATCTGTTCTGTGATGCTCTGTGTTTTTGATTGGCTGTTGAATGATTTGATGCCCCCTAGCTAGTCTTGTGATGAGGTAGCTAGCTCAGTTGTTTTGGTGCAAGTTCTTGTTCTATCTCTGAGGCTTTACGGCCAGACCCCCAGTCTGTCACCCACCCACTCCTCCTCAGCTCAATACGCCCCTTGTTTGCCACTGTATGTTGTGGTGAGGTGTTAGGCCACTGCTGGAGGCTGAGGAACAGTGCTTTGCATTCTTCACTAGTTTTGCTTTGCAGTATATTGCCCCACTGTATGGTCAGCTTTTGCTTAGCATCTGTCAGCTCAATGAACTTGGCACCTGTAGTGAGAATGTGCTTTCTCTTAGATAGGCTACAGTTTGTAAGCAAACAGACCAGTGGTAGGTTTCTGTGGTGATCTAATTAATTCACAATACTAAATTCACATACTAATCTAATCACTTATTACTTCAAGTGCTACCTCCGTTGAATAAGTCGCTTTTCCCTCTCAATTCCCTTGTCAATCACTTGGAGAGAATCTCAAGATCAATATAACATTTTAAACCTAGACATTCAGTTAATTGTTACTGAGGTTGATTAACTGTTTCTTAGGTAGCCTGAATAATGAACCTTGTATTTTGACCGTATGCCTGTCTGTGTGTGTGGGCTTTGGGATTCCTTGTGTGTCTGTGTGTGTATGCCTGTGTCCCCGACTGTGTGTGTCCATGTGCGTGTCTGACCTTCGATGTGTGTGTGTATTTGTCTGTCCATCCGACCGTGTGTTTGTGTGTGTGTGCGTGACAACAGATTGTGGGGAACGGCAGTGAGCAGCAGTTGCAGAAGGAGCTGGAGGATGTTCTGATGGACCCCTCTGTAGCTGAGCAGGCGCTGGGTGGTGGCAGAGGGGACCAGGCAGGCAGGGTGGACCATGTTTTGTTCCCCACCATGGCAGCGCCTCCCGAGCCCCAACCGTGCCCTGACCCCCTTAGCGACCCCCTCAGCACCCCGCCCAAAGTTGAGATGATGCTGCCCGTCCAATCTGCAGCACAGGAGAGTGAGCTGAATGAACGATCTTACCGCGGTGAGTCAGAGCAAGGATACCAAATCAACCCCTAGACCCTACACCCTAGGAACTTCTCTAGATCTAGATGTAAGAACTATGGTTATAGCTTAATCTTGTCTTCTGATTGTCTCCCGAGTGGCGCAGTGGTCTAAGGCACTGCATCGCAGTGCTAGCTGTGCCACTAGAGATCCTGGTTCAAATCCAGGCTCTGTCGTAGCCGGCCGCGACCGGGAGACCCATGGGGCGGCGCACAATTGGCCCAGCGTCGTCCAGGGTAGGGGAGGGAATGGCCGACAGGGGATGTAGCTCAGTTGGTAGAGCATGGCGTTTGCAACGCCAGGGTTGTGGGTTCGATAAAATAATGTATGCGCTAACTGTAAGTCGCTCTGGATAAGAGCGTCTGCTAAATGACTAAAATGTAAATGTAAATGATTGGCTGAGCAGAAATATTGCTTCCGTATATCCAATGTCCTAGGGGTAGGGTCTACGCTTTGATCTGCTGTCTCTCCCTCTCACTAGGCCCTCTCTGTATGACCTTTGACATCCACAGGGGATGAGTCGTCATCGGAGTGCAGCCCCAGTACGCCTATCCCAGATGAGGACAGTGTGGTGTTCAATAAGCTGACCTATCTGGGCTGTGCCTCGGTCAACGCTCCCCGCAGTGAGGTGGAGGCCCTCCGCATGATGACCATCCTCAGAGGGCAGTGCCAGCTACCCCTGGACGTCACCCTGTCTGTGCCTGGCGTCTCAGAGGGCACCGTCAGGTCAGGACTGCTTAACAAACAAACAAACCAACACCAGAAATTTGTTTGCGTGTGTTTGTGGCTCATAAAGGACCCGAGTAGTTATTCTGATTCCTATGTAAAATAGCCTTTTGAGTATATATATATCACCCATAATATTTTTGGGGGATAGAAATGCTAAAAATTTTAGAAAAATAAATGTTTCTCTCAATAACAGGAAGTTTGAGAATACAGGCTGAAGGGGCGTACCCCCCCCCCCCCCCCCCTTTTGTTACATGCTGGCCGAAGACCTAGCTAGCCAGTAACTAGCTAACACCAGACACAGATGAAAGGGGAGACATATAAGTATCTTTGCCAAGATACATAGTGTAAACTTGCTGACACCCTACAGTAACATTTTGGCACTAGTAGAGTAGCTATCTAGCTATATAAACCATGCCCCTCTGCAAACACACCTTCTCCGATGTTGGTTACAAGGCAGTACTTATTTCAATTAGGTAAGAGAATATCATGTTACCATTGGTGTATTAAAATGAGAGGGTGATGTCACCCTATCCCCTTGATAATCCCGCCTCCTGAATCCAAGTGTTTGACATGGGGGAGGGGACCAGTAACTTTATGATCAAACTTGTAGAAGCAACAGTAATTTTTCATACTTTGGTCATCATACTTTGATCTGATTTCATCCAAATATCATCCAATTTTATGAAAAACATGATTTTGACTGTTCATGACCTTTAAACAAACAAACAGAGTGTGAGTGCTTTCGTGCGATGCGCTGTTGGAATACCTTTGAATACCATTTTCTCTATCCTACCTTGTGAATTATTATCTCTTTGCTACCCTTACCGTTAAGCATAATATTACCGACTGTTTTTCTGCAGGTTGCTGGACCCCCAGACAAGCACAGAGATAGCCAGCTACCCCATCTACAAGATCCTGTTCTGTGTGCGGGGTCACGACAGCACGCCAGAGAGTGACTGCTTCGCCTTCACAGAGAGCCATTACAACGCAGAGATCTTCCGCATCCATGTCTTCCGTTGTGAGATCCAAGAGGCGGTGAGGTCACGCACGCACACACACACACACACACACACACACACACACACAAACAAAACACACACACACAAACAAAACACACAGTCGCAAGTCCTTCAATTCCTGTTACTGTTGTTTAGCTCCATGCTGCCTGGGTCTTCAATTACCACACTACAGTTCCATCCACATTTGACAGCAGTGCAGATGGTGAACAGCACGGGGAGCCAGAGCTGCTACCATTTATCACACAGTACCAGAGCCAGAGCCTCCCTTCCACTCTGACAGCACAGCAGAACTCTACCATGCTGCCCACACACAATGCCCAAACATTCATGTTGAGGTGAAATCTCTCTCCCTGTGTGAGCTGTTTACCCCGCTACCCTGGCCCTTTGGGCTGCACTCTCTGTACAGACACTGATATACCCAATGCCCATGTGTTTATATCTCATGTCAAGCCTGCAGTAAGTCAGTCAGCCTTAGCCTGCTGCTCTGCTGTACTCTGCTCTGCCTGAACTGGCTAGGCCTATATAATAGTGTCTAACAGAGTATGCGTTCCAAATGGCACCCTATTAAAAGTAGGACACTATATAGGGAATAGGGTGCTGTTTGGGACACAGCCAGGCAGAGAGCTGGTCTTCCTTACTCTCCTTAGTCTCCCTCAGTGTGCAGTGACCTGATTTTCCTTTTTCCTTCCTTGGAGAAAGATGTCTCTTCCAATCTTCCAGACAGACAGCCCAGAACACAGACCACCCCATGTCTGCCTGGTGGGGGTACTGTGGTTGGACCCCCTCCGTCCCCTGCCCCACACACAAACGCACGCACACACACGGCTCTTTCATTGGTACCCAACTTTAGGAGCACCACATTAAATTTAGGAGCACCAGAAAATACGTTGTTTTAAAAATTGTTTGAGTTACAGCCTGTGTTGACTACTTTTGAAGCACATGTTGTTCCTTAGAAACTAATATGTAACAATGTAAAGACATTAATTTATTATAAAAGCTAAAACGTTGATATGAATACCTGTCATTGAAATTAGAAAGTCATTTGTGGAATAGGTTTCTACATTGTGTAAAAGCACAATTTTCTCTTTAAAAACGTCAGGTTTGTGATGATGACATGCACGAGGTCTGTCATTCATTCATTTCTATGATCATTGATCTCCTGAAGAAGCTATCCCTTTTCCTTTTTTTCTGTGCCCCCAAATATTTGAATATACTGGTAAAGTTACCAGGTTGTTAGCCAGCTAGGCAAAGTGTAAACAAATGGTTAATGAAGCGCAAGTAGTTTTAGAACGGCCCACGACATGGTTAATGAATGTAAAATGCGGCCCCGGCGATACGTTATAGCAGGCGGTATTCAACTCTGACCCTCGAGGCCTGGAGCCTGCTGGTTTTCTGTTCTACCTGATAATTAATTGCACCAACCTAGTCTCCCAGGTCTAAATCAGTCCCTGATTAGAGGGGAACAATGAAATAATGCAGTGAAACTGACTTCAAGGTCCAGAGCTGAGTTTGAGGGCGCTATAGGAAGAAATAAATGTTGCGCCGTTAATATGGGTCAGATCTTTTGACCTGGTTGAGCTAGAAGCAAGCTGTTTCCGCTGTAGTAAAGGCACTCGGAAACAACGGTACAGCGAAGCCTTAACATTACAATTTGGATTATTAAATATTAAAGTATTGAACCTCTCACTAAAGGCTTCAGTCAAATTTATTAAAAATAAAAAAACAGAAATACCTTATTTACCTACATATTCAGATCCTTTGCTATGAGACTCGAAAATGAGCTCAGGTGCATCCTGTTTCCATTGATCGTCCTTGAGATGTTTCTACAATGCTGCAGAAATGTTTTGGTACCCTTCCCCAGATCTGTGCCTCGACACAATCCTGTCTCGGAGCTCTACGGACAATTCTTTCGACCTCATGGATTGGAGTCCACCTGTGGTAAATTCAATTGATTGAACATGATTTGGAAATGCACACACCTGTCTATATAAGGTCCCACAGTTGACAGTGCATGTCAGAGCAAAAACCAAGCCATGAGGTCGAAGGAATTGTCCGTAGAGTTCCGAGACAGGATTGTGTCAAGGCACAGATCAGGGGAAGGGTACCAAAACATTTCTGCAGCATTGCATGTCCCCAAGAACACAGTTTGTGCGTAACATACTGCGATCTCCTAGAAGTGTGTGTTCACCGGTCGACTAAGAGCTGAAACTACAGATGATGCGTTGTGTAAGAAGAGAGGCCGAACTGTGTGGATGCAGATAACTCAACCAGTATAACAGTCATTAGTTTTATCTACAGTGCCGTGATGAGAGAGAGAGAGCTCACACGCTGTAAACAGAGCCCTATCTAGAATTATGCTGTATCATGTCGCCCAATAACTGAAACGCTTTCTAGGACTCTAATGGTGCGAGTATGCGTATGTCATTGATCTTCAATCCGTTAGTGTGTACACTGATATTCAAACCCTGTGTGTGTGTGCATGCTCTTGTTTATGCTCTGGTGTGTGTGTGTGTGTGTGTGTGTGTGTTTGAACTCCACAGGTCAGCAGGATACTGTACAGCTTCGCCACGGCCTTTAGGCGGTCCGCCAGGAAGACGCTCCTCTCGGGCTTGGCTCCGCCCCTGACGCCAGACAGCGACGTCTTCACCTTCACCGTCAGTCTGGAGATCAAGGAGGATGATGGGAAAGGGACTTTTAGGTACGGTGCATTACAAACACGTGATCCATGTTATCGATCTGTACACAACAGCCATCTTCCTCCATCTCTAGGTTAGGTACATTAGGGTTCATCATGAACTGCATGGTATATTATAACCATGTTAAAACATCAATGTTATTAAACTGTACACTAGAGCTATCATCAACATCTGCATTGTCTATTTGTTGCATATTTGGACGTTTATATATGGTACTTTACAGCCATGTTAGAGCTATCTCTACTGTATGTTATCAATGTCATAGTCTTCTGTCTCTAAATTTGTTATATATTCAGATTCTCTTTCCCGCTCTCAAGGTATAGTACGTGTTGGAACATCTGTACACTAAAGCCATCACCCGGCCTCATCCGCAAGTCTATTTGTTGCCTATTTGAAAGGTCTCCTTTCCCCTCTCAAAACACACATGAACTGTATTCGCTCTACTTAAATCTACGGCATTCAATCTCACTCTCAGAAAGAAATATGCTGCTTCAGTGCAGAAGGAAATGACAAAAATAGCTACAGGTATCGTTTTATTTTGGAGCATTTAGAATTGTAGACACGCGCTTCCTCTAATTTATCATCCTGAGCAGCAGCACAGCCTCCTCTCTTCCTCCACAGAGGCTTATTCACAAGCTGACTGGCCCGGGCCGACGCCGACAAACAGACACGTCCTCCTAGGAATCCATCACGGGGCCGGAGATTAGACAGCCCTTTTCTGCTCATCAGACAGAGGACGTTGGGATCCTCAGATTAGTCACTGACTCTCACATTGGGTAACTCTGGACATGTCCGCATGGAAACCAAGCGAGCACTCATGCACTTAAGCAGAGGCAGAGAGGACGAATTATCATCAGCTCTGGTTTGTGTTTTATTTTAGATGAGAGAGAACTTTAGTGTCACACTCATGGCTGTTTCTCTAAGGCTTAGTCTCAACTGCTTAAACATCTGTCCTGTTCTTGTGTCCTCCCCTTCATGTGCAATTATTGGAAAAGACTTGACAGGAGAAAACAATATGGTGGAAGCTCATCAGTTCTTTCAGATCAGAGTGATGAAAGAGTGAAGGCAAGGAAAGAACAGATCCTCCTCCTCAGGCTTTAAAAGGGATGGTTTCCAATTCCCACCAAACAAGTCACTTCCCTTAGCTTTCAAATGGCCAAATACTACACTGGTTGTTTAAAAAACATAAAAAGCCATTGCTTATTTTTAGATGGGCATATTTCCTCCTCATTAAGCCATGGGCTGCTTATTTATGGAATGTTGAGATCTAAGCGCAGCATTCACACGCTAGTAGGGCCCTAATACGCAAGTCATTAGGATGTTTGCTCCAGGAATTCCATAACAGATACTACAACTACAGCACACAGCAAATATTGTAAAGATAAGAGTAGTGTTGTGGTTGCGAATACTTGAAAATGTCATTTTTCAGCAACTTGGACTGTCATACTGTTCGGTCTCCATCCCCTTATATGGTGTTTATTACCTAATTTCTGTTTTCGTTAGGTGTGTATAATTTTTGTTGTTGTTGGGGGAAACTGTTTAGTCATTTAGCACACTCTTTTATCCAGAGAGCCTTACAGTAGTGAGTGCATACATTCCATACTTTTTTCTCTCCATACTGGTCCCCCGTAGGAATCGAACCCACAACCCTGGCGTTGCAAGTGCCATGCTCTACTAACTGAGCCACACGGGTCGAGTGGCTCTTAGGCTGCGTGCCACTGTTTTTATTTTGCATTTACAGTGGGGGAAAAAAGTATTTAGTCAGCCACCAATTGTGCAAGTTCTCCCACTTAAAAAGATGAGAGGCCTGTAATTTTCATCATAAGTACACGTCAACTATTACAGACAAATTGAGATTTTTTTTCTCCAGAAATTCACATTGTAGGATTTTTTATGAATTTATTTGCAAATTATGGTGGAAAATAATTATTTGGTCACCTACAAACAAGCAAGATTTCTAGCTCTCACAGACCTGTAACTTCTTCTTTAAGAGGCTCCTCTGTCCTCCACTCGTTACCTGTATTAATGGCACCTGTTTGAACTTGTTATCAGTATAAAAGACACCTGTCCACAACCTCAAACAGTCACACTCCAAACTCCACTATGGCCAAGACCAAAGAGCTGTCAAAGGACACCAGAAACAAAATTGTAGACCTGCACCAGGCTGGGAAGACTGAATCTGCAATAGGTAAGCAGCTTGGTTTGAAGAAATCAACTGTGGGAGCAATTATTAGGAAATGGAAGACATACAAGACCACTGATAGTCTCCCTCGATCTGGGGCTCCACGCAAGATCTCACCCCATGGGGTCAAAATGATCACAAGAACGGTGAGCAAAAATCCCAGAACCACACGGGGGGACCTAGTGAATGACCTGCAGAGAGCTGGGACCAAATTAACAAAGCCTACCATCAGTAACACACTAAGCCGCCAGGGACTCAAATCCTGCAGTGCCAGACGTGTCCACCTGCTTAAGCCAGTACATGTCCAGGCCCGTCTGAAGTTTGCTAGAGTGCATTTGGATGATCCAGAAGAGGATTGGGAGAATGTCATATGGTCAGATGAAACCAAAATATAACTTTTTGGTAAAAACTCAACTCGTCGTGTTTGGAGGACAAATAATGCTGAGTTGCATCCAAAGAACACCATACCTACTGTGAAGCATGGGGGTGGAAACATCATGCTTTGGGGCTGTTTTTCTGCAAAGGGACCAGGACGACTGATCCGTGTAAAGGAAAGAATGAATGGGGCCATGTATCGTGAGATTTTGAGTGAAACCCTCCTTCCATCAGCAAGGGCATTGAAGATGAAACGTGGCTTGGTCTTTCAGCATGACAATGATCCCAAACACACCGCCCGGGCAACGAAGGAGTGGCTTCGTAAGAAGCATTTCAAGGTCCTGGAGTGGCCTAGCCAGTCTCCAGATCTCAACCCCTTAGAAAATCTTTGGAGGGAGTTGAAAGTCCGTGTTGCCCAGCGACAGCCCCAAAACATCACTGCTCTAGAGGAGATCTGAATGGAGGAATGGGCCAAAATACCAGCAACAGTGTGTGAAAACCTTGTGAAGACTTACAGATGTTACAAATGTTTGACCTGTGTCATTGCCAACAAAGGGTATATAACAAAGTATTGAGAAACTTTTGTTATTGACCAAATACTTATTTTCCACCATAATTTGCAAATAAATTCATTAAAAATCCTACAATGTGAAAGAATTCTCATTTTGTCTGTCATAGTTGACGTGTACCTATGATGAAAATTACAGGCCTCTCTCATCTTTTTAAGTGGGAGAACTTGCACAATTGGTGGCTGACTAAATACTTTTTCCCCCAACTGTATTTCTGATCTCAGTAGCTCATAACTCAAGTGTGGTGTATCTAACAGCATGCTCTAAGTGCCTTGAGTGTATGCTGTGAGTAAATTATTAGTAATTTGTTAAATATTTTGGGAGGAGGATTTGCGTTCGAAAAAAGAGTATGCTTTGATCAGGTTGACTGGTATTTCTGCAGACATTCAAAACATTACTATTCAAAACAGAACCAATTCTCAGTGCTCGCATCATCACATTAGATCAATGAACTGTGTAAACAAATGCAAAGTGTCGTTTATTATCTCCATTGATATGATATTACAGTATAAGGCTCATGTAATGTTCTCAGGGAAAGCTGTCTCCCAAGCCACTCTTTGACACTCGCTGAAATCCCAGCCAAAGCATTTTAGACTAAGAGCTTTTCTATTTTTCCAGTGCTGTGGCGAAAGACAAAGACAAGAACAGCTTCAAGCTGCGTCCGGGAATGGACAAGAAGATCGTCATCTACGTCCAGCAGACGTCTAATAAGGAGCTGGCCATCGAGAGGTAACGTGCACGCACGCCAACACACACACATAGAGAGGCTGCGCAGACATGACACAGTGGACTGTACACTACATTTATCTAACTGGGACACTTAGTCCCACCACCACGGAGACTTCTCAGTCAGGACGTCTCTCAGCTATTCATAACAAGCTGTAATTCAGTTATAATTGATAAACAACCACTGTTTAATGTCCGTCTGTTTCCGAGCTTAAGTGTCCCAGTTCGGCCATGAGAACGAGATGGATGTTTCTGTTCTGAGCCTGCTAATTCTCTACGGTTAATAATGTTGTTTTGACTTGCCGTCACCTTCACTTGAACCTCAGTTCCATTGCTTTTTGTTATTTTACTGTTCCTATACTGGGCCCGGATTGGAGAGCTCTGTTATCCTCTGTTATTCCATGCTCTGGGCAGTTTTATCAAGGATATACCTAGCCTGATACTTTGCGGGGACATCTTGTCTGATGCCTTCCACCTGGTTCCACTCTTATGAGGTGTGTCTTGTGTGCCTGTGTGTGTCTGTGTGTGTCTGTGTACCTGTGTGTGTCTGTGTACCTGTGTGTGTCTGTGTACCTGTGTGTACTTGTGTGTGTCTGTGTACCTGTGTGTGCCTGTGTACCTGTGTCTGCCTGCTCGGTGTATGTGTGTTCCAGGTGCTTCGGCCTCCTGCTGAGTCCAGGGAAGAACGTGAAGAACAGTGACATGCACCTGCTTGACCTGGAGTCAATGGGGAAGTCCTCTGATGGGAAGTCCTACATCATCACAGGGAGCTGGAATCCCAACACACCGCAGTTCCAGGCTGTTAACGAGGAGACACCCAAAGGTACAGCAGGCCAGACGGCCAACATGCAAAGATATGTCCACAGGTTGTTATTTAGTGCCATGTTAACATGGTATTTTTCCCTGTCTGTGAATAATCAGGACTCTAAGGATAATGCCCTCAGATAGTTCATAGCCGACCGTGGCTGACTGACAAATTAATATCTATGAACACAGCAACTGTATAAGGGTTATATCGAGGATGTTTGTGTTCCAGATAAGTTATTGTACAGGTCCACAGCTTTAACGGTTAAATTGATGAGTGTTGTGTTAATTTACATGACCACAGCTGTAAGGGTTTCTGGTAAGGATTTTATTAATGACAGTTATGGGTCATGTCCAACAGATAAGTTCATGTACATGACGACGGCGGTAGACCTGGTGATCACTGAGGTGGAGGAGCCTGTTCGTTTCCTTCTGGAGACCAGGGTCAGAGTCTGCTCTCCCAACGAGAGGCTCTTCTGGCCCTTCAGCAAACGCAACTACACCGAGACCTACTACCTGAAACTCAGACAGGTGAGACAGACATTCTATCTGAAATTCAGACAGGTGAGATCTTCTACCTGAAATTCAGACAAGTGAGACCTTGTAGCTGAAACTCAGACAGGTGAGACTGACCTTCTACCTGAAACGCAGACAGGTGAGACTGACATTCTACCTGAAACTCAGGCAGGTGATCCCTTCTAGGTGAAATGCAGACAGATGAGACTTTCTACCTGAAAGTCAGACAGGTGAGACTGACATTCTACCTGAAACTCAGGCAGGTGAGCCCTTCTAGGTGAAATTCAGACAGGTGAGACCTTCTACCAGAAACTCAGACAGGTGAGACTGACTTTCTTCCTGAAACTCAGATCGGTGAGACAGAATTTCTATCTGAAACTCAGACAGGTGAGACAGACACCATGGAAGACAAAACACTCCAACATTATGGGCCGCCCGGTTTCCCTGAAAATCTCAATGGAGAATCCACACTGAACATACTTTTTATTCTAGACTTAATGTGTCAACCCATCATGAATTGTGAGAGGGCTCTTTTTTCTTTTCTTTAACAATGGAACTGCTAGTCAATGTGGTCACCTATTGCCTTGACCCTGTATGGAACTCCATTCCTTTCCTCCCTTCCCAGATGTAGCGTAAGAGTAACAACGACACCAATCCCATGACAGGAAGTATGTGCCTTTATACCCTGCTTCCTCCAGATGGAGCGTAAGAGTAACAACGATACCCTGTATGAGGTGCTGAGCCTGGAGAGTGAGTCAGAGAGGGAGAGGAAGAAAACGACAGCCAGCCCCAACATCCTGCAGTCTTCCTCCCACGGCTCCATGGTGCCATCGCCTCCCGAGGATGATGAGGAGGAAGGTGACTGTCTGAGCAACCTTAATGTTACATTGTATTTAACCTTAATTTAACCAGGAAGTCCGACTGAGGTCAGAAGTGCTCTCTTCCCCTACATTTACATTTGAGTCATTTAGTAGACAATCTTATTCACCAGAGTGACTTACTAAAGTAAGTAAAACAAACACATATCACGATAATTGCAAGTGTATCCTTAAAAAAAGCTGCTATCTGCTAAATCTGTGCTAGTAAGAATAAAGGATAGTCCTTGTTGCCCTCCTGTCTCTGTAGCTCCATTCCAAATCAACCCCTAGCCTCTACCCCCGGCCTATGTACTGTTCATTTCCCCTACCCCCTAGGCACTTGTTGAGTTCCTGGAGGATTAGACAGGTGTATGTAGTAAGGCAGAAATTCCACCTATCCAATCCTATCAAAACCACACAACTGAACTTCCCCAAAAGAATCTGATTTACCATTTTTTGTTACGAAACATTTTGCTACAATGTGCCCTACTGAACACAACCTGGTCGATTTAGGATTGGGTAGTAGTCCCTCCCTGTCTGTTTGTGCCTTATTCCTCTCCCTGTATGCTATGTACTATGCCATTCTTGATGCGTGACAGCTAGGTCTATTTGTCTGTCTCAATGTCAGTACCCCCCTGTATTTGTCTCCTGTCTAGTCAGCCTGTTATGTGCCCTAGTTTAGTCTCTCTCGGCATTGCTGATTGTGTGTTTACCAGTCTAGTAAGTCACTATGCATACAGTATGTTTATGTACTCTAGCCCAGGTCAACCATGTTGATATGTCAACCCTTTATGTCTCTGGGGTGCGTCCCAAATGGCACCCTATTCCCTATATAGTGCACTACTTTTGACCAGGACCCTGATCAGAAGTAGTGCACTATATCGGGAATAGGGGGCCATTTGGGACGCACCCTCTGTCTCTGGTATGTGTCTCTGGAGCAGAGCAAATATTTATTTTGCAAGATGGACAATAAAGTTGTATTAAATTCTATTCTGTCAGACAATGACGAGCCGTTGCTGAGTGGCTCAGGAGACGTGTCAAAGGAGTGTGCTGAGAAGATACTGGAGACCTGGGGAGACCTGCTGTCCAAATGGTGAGTCAGTGAGGAGGTCTCATCTCACTAATCATACTGTACATTACTCTGCTCCCTCTCAACCTCACATACCCACTTTACTGCAGATTGATCAGTTTGTATCAGGAATATCATACCTTGCCTTCGTGTAAATCATCCAACGTATTTTGCACTTCTCATCTTAATTTAGCTCAACATTCAGTGGTGTTATAGGAAATGAATCATAAACAAACAAAAGTAAAAGAGGAGGTGATTTGAACTTTATTTCACCTTACAAGACCTTACCACCAGCTGTACCAGTCTGGCACATAATAACCAAAAGCACCACCAGGCAGCAGGCTCTTTGCTCAATAAATGATATGTACTGAGAAAGTAGCTACCACTGAGCTGCCGTTTACTTAGTGTGCCTGACGATGCCAGTGGGCCTTTAGAGCTGCGCTCCCTGCCTGGCTGGCCAGGAGAAGGATTGATGTGGTGGTGGGCTTTTGATTTTCCTGTTGATCAGTCAGCGTATGCATGGAGGGAGGCATGTCAGGGAGAGCGATGAGGGGACTTACTGCTGGCACAGTGATAGTGGTCCTCCAGCTGAGTTACAACCCAAATGACTGCCTTCTTTACCACGTACCTTTTAGGTCAGGAGTCTTTTATAATGTGCCATGGTCTGATTCTTCTTCATAATTCTTCTTTGATTTAACATTTTAGTGGGAGATTCACATTTATCTATGGTAATCACAATGATAAGAAAAGCAAATTAACACCTAGTGCTTGTAAAATATAGACTTATCCTTCATACATACAGAGTTCTTATAGCTTATACTAAGGATGGAGACACACTCACACACTGCTAATTTGAGAACTCATTCATGGGTGCTGGGAAATGATGTTGATATTTTAATCTCTGGAAGTGGCAAGGAAAAGAAAGAGGTGTTATGTGTGTGTCGTCACATCCAGATAACCAGCTTATTAAGATTATTACCCACTCCCATTACTCTTTATTGTTCTTAATCAAAACCTTGTGATGAATTAAATTAAAAAGTCCAGCAATTTAATTAGAGACGCTCAGTAGCTTCTGTCTTCTGCTGTGAAGTGATGGTCACATCTGTAGTTCCCCATTCGCTCCGTTCCCTTCAACCCAGACTTCAGAGAGGGAGGGAGGGAGGGAGGGAGCACATTTAGCTTTCTTCAATGTCTGATACAGCCGCTGGGTGCATACAAGGTGCTTTTCTGCCTCACAAATTTTTTAATGCTTTGCTGTTAAAGGACAATTCTGCCACTTTATAACCAATTATTATGCTGTTAGTATATATGCAGTACTGTAAGATTTTATACACATTTTGATGTTTTATAGTTTTTGTTAGTCATACTGCACGATTCCTTATTTACAATTTATTTTAAAGCTGCTGTATTGCCCTCGTCTATAGCATACTATGATTCCCAGAGTGCATTTTGTCTCCCATGATGCAGTGCTCTGCCTAGTTAGCCTGCTGTTAGCTTAGCTAGCTGTCTATCAAGCTCAGACTAAGCTTAGTCTAAATATATTGCTTGTCATAAGTTATGATTGGATTTCACATTACTTTTGGGTTGTAAATATATTATAATGCTTGTGTGAATGTCATGCTGAATATATATGTCATGCTGAACAATAACAGCTGAGTTTCATCTTAGCGACTGTTAGAAGAACACAACATTTATTATGAAATGTACATGCAAATCATTACGGAATCCTAGTCTCTCAGCCTGTATCTTTGGCTAGCACAGCAAATAACCAGAGCTAGCATGATGTGAAGGTAGAGAAAGATCAGCTTACCTTGTTAGCCAGCTAGATATATGAATTTCTCTCATGACAACCAACAATATAACTAAACTAAAAGTAGCTAGCATACGAGTCCAGTGTTTGATGGCCACATTATTTACATCAAAACTTGGCTAGCTATCAACCTCTCTCCCCCCTCACCAATCTGTCTCTCCTAGCTCTTCGTCTGCTTCCTCCAAAACACAACTATACTTTACCCAGGTGTATTGACCACTTAGTTTCAATTAAGAAACATACTAGGAACACAAGCATTTTGCTACACCCGCAATACCATCTGCTAAATACAGTTGAAGTCAGAAGTTTACATACACTTAGGTTGCCGTCATTAAAATTATTTTTTCAACCACTCCACAAATTTCTTGTTAACAAACTATAGTTTTGGCAAGTCGGTTAGGACATCTACTTTGTGCATGACACAAGTAATTTTACCAACAATTGTTTACAGACAGATTATTTCACTTATAATTCACTATATTACAATTCCAGTGGGTCAGAAGTTTACATACACTAAGTTGACTGTGCCTTTAAACAGCTTGGAAAATTCCAGAAAATGATGTCATGGCTTTAGAAGCTTCTGATAGGCTAATAGACATCATTTGAGTCAATTGGAGGTGTACCTGTGGATGTATTTCAAGGCCTACCTTCAAACTCAGTGCCTCTATGCTTGATATCATGGGAAAATCAAAAGAAATCAGCCAAGACCTCAGAAACAAAATTGTAGACCTCCACAAGTCTGGTTCATCCTTGGGAGCAATATCCATACGCCTGAAGGTACCATGTTCATCTTTACAAACAATAGTACGCAAGTATAAACACCATGGGACCACACAGCCGTCATACCGCTCAGGAAGGAGACACGTTCTGTCACCTAGGGATGAACGTACTTTGGTGTGAAAAGTGCAAAGCAATCCCAGAACAACAGCAAAGGACCTTGTGAAGATGATGGAGGAAACAGGTACAAGTATCGATATCCACAGTAAACCGAGTCCTATATCGACATAACCTGAAAGGCTGCTCAGCACGGAAGAAGCCACTGCTTCAAAACCATCATAAAAAAGCTCAACGACTGTTTGCAACTGCACATGGGGACAAAGATCGTACTTTTTGGAGAAATGTCCTCTGGTCTGATGAAAGAAAAATAGAACTGTTTGCCCATAATGACCATCGTTATGTTTGGAGGAAAAAGGGGGTGCTTGCAAGCCGAAGAACACCATCTCAACCGTGAAGCACGGGGGTGGCAGCATCATGCTGTGAGGGTGCTTTGCTGCAGGAGGGACTGGTGCTCTTCACAAAATAGATGGCATCATGAGGAAGGAAAATGATGTGGATATATTGAAGCAACATCTCAAGACGTCAGTCAGGATGGTCGCAAATGGCTCTTCCAAATGGACAATGACCCCAAGCATACTTCCAAAGTTGTGGCAAAATGGCTTAAGGACAACAAAGTCAAGGTGTTGGAGTGGCCATCACAAAGCCCTGACCTCAATCCTATAGAAAATGTGTGGGCAGAACTGAAAATGTGTGTGCGAGCAAGGAGGCCTACAAACCTGACTCAATTACACCAGCTCTGTCAGGAGGAATGGGCAAAAATCCACCCAATTTATTGTGGGAAGCTCGTGGAAGGCTACCCGAAACGTTTGACCCAAGTTAAACAGTTTAAAGGCAATGCTACCAAATACTAATTGAGTGTAATGTAAACTTCTGACCCACTGGGAATGTAATGAAATAAATAAAAGCTGAAATAAATAATTCTCTCTACTATTATTCTGACATTTCACATTCTTAAAATAAAGTGGTGATCCTAACTGACCTAAGACAGGGAATTCTTACTAGGATTAAGTGTCAGGAATTGTGAAAAAATATATTTGGCTAAGGTGTATGTAAACATCCGACTTCAACTGTATAATCCATTGGTGATATACCCTTCAGTCGCTCCAGGACTTTCTTTGGACCTTCATCCGCAGACAGGGTTTAGCAGCTTTCACAGGTCTCTGTATCTGAGGTTATGAAACATAGAAATTAGACCAGGACTTGCTTTCTTATTCTCAAGTGATATAACATTTGATATTTCATTGCAATTGTGTTTTTGTATTGTCATAATTCTCTCTTTGGGACTGAACATCTGTTCAGCTAGCTAGCTAACATTGTTGTTTTAGCAGATCACGCTAACGTTTGTGTCATAACATAAAACAATGGATGGCTGTAATGATCATCCCACCTGAGAAAACAACTAGACTAAGTTAGCTAGCTAGCGGTTTACTGCCGCAACAGAACAGCTGTTGTTTACAAATGCACCGGAAGTTCTTCTGGGTTCCAGGGTTCACTTCCGTTCCTCCTCAAAAAGCTGTTAAAATGGTGCTATTTGAAAAGGGCACAATGGCTGCTGGAGCTGCAACTTCGGTCTGTGATGGTGGGAGTGGTTTTGCTAAATAGAATCATGGGAGTTTGAGCCTTGAACAACAGGGAACTATTGGAGTAAGCTGACTAAGTATCATTCTATAGGTTTTGGAGTGTCTATTTAAAATATGTATAGATGTTATTAGACAAAGACAACCAGAGCAACATATAGCATGGAGTTCCAATATGATCTGAAAACCACAGACGGGTTACGTAGATCGCTGAAAATGGCTGTCCATAATTTACTGTATTAGTAATCTCAGGGATCCTTCTTGAAACCTTACAGAGAAGCAATATCCGGTTTTGCTCATCACTAAACAGTTATTAGACATTAAATCATAAAATTACACTAAAACTGTGTAGAACATCACTAAATACTTCGTAATAACAACACAAATGTTGTAAGTGGCTGAATGTGTCCTTTAAAGTGTCTCTTCAGAATGGCTCTGCTGACTGAAATAAAACGACTATGTTTAAGAAATCTGCTTTCATTCTAACTGGCATAGAATGGTAAATAAATGGCGTAATGCAAATGGCACTGTGGTGTGTTGTGCGACTCGATGCAGGGCTCTGGGAGTCAGTGGGAGCCTTTTTGTATGGCCAACCCCCTGAGGACCAGAAGCTGGTTTCACTTACATCACACACAAAGTACGCGCTGTCTTGTTTCAACTGTTTTATTTGAGCAGAAAAAAATGCCACGTTGCAATGCGTAACCAACTAAAACTAAACAACTGGAATGTTTTTAGCCTTCTTAGGGGCGAGTTGTGTGGAACCTGATCATATATTGCCTGGCATTGTGACTGTAATCCCCGCCAGCTGCCGAGGCCTCTGGCTAGAGCCAGGGGTAGACTCTGTCTCTCATTCCAGGTGAAGCTGGTTGAGAGAATGCCAAGAGTGTGCAAAGCTGTCATCAAGGCAAAGGGTGGCTACTTTGAAGAATCTAAAATCTAAAATATATTTTGATTTGTTTAACACTTTGTTGGTTACTTCATGATTCCATATGTGTAATTTCATAGTTTTGTTGTCTTCACTATTATTCTACAATGTAGAAAATAGTAAAAATAAAGAAAAACCCCTGAATGAGTAGGTGTGTCCAAACTTTTTACTGGTACTGTATATTATGCTGACATTTTGTGTTCACGTTTTTGTTTGTTTTGGACTTCGGTAAGGGTTTATTCGGCTGTTCGGGCACACCAAAAAAAATCTTGAGGCAAGCCGAAGTCGGTAGCTGAAGTCTACACCCCTTCGTCGGTGATTGGTCAACAGTAGGGATTCTTCAAGAAAGTCTTTGTTGTCATTCAACGAGAGACGACTTGTTTTCATGCAAATTTTTTCATTGAGAAATACTGCACCAAACATCTTAGTTAGATGTAAAATTGCGCAACTAAGATCTCCTCTGCAAAAACGTCAAAAATGAATGAGTCTTATGTTAATTCTGACTATTTTAAGGAAGCGTATACTGGCTATGGCGTCTCAAAATGGACAAACAGTGCGCTTTTTTCTCGTTTTTCAAGCGAAGGTCTTTTAAGGGAGTGTGAGAGTACACTCGTTCGGTTTCGGCTAGGCGCCAGCAGAACTGATGCATTCATCCCCACACCAGTGGGCCGCCAGGGTTTTATGTTAATGTACTCTAGTGTTATTATGTTTCACTAACACTAAAGACTTGTGTGACACTAAAGACTTGTGGCGAGCAGAATCAACAACCTCTGCGCCGTTCAAGACTGTTGCTTTGTGAGAAGGACTCTTTACAAGTCTGCTCGCCACAAGTCAGTCACAGTTAGCCCTTGTTACAGTAAATGCCAGCTGAAAAGTACTAAGGGCCTTGCCTTGGCTCCAAATTAGAGCAGGTCCACAGGAGCAATGTCCCAGTGAGGCACGGGTGCCGGCCCGCATAGAGGGAAACAGAAAAGTCTGAGCCTTTTGCGTAAAGCACTGGGGTATATCTTTGTTGGAAATGCGGCATTAGTGGGGAAAATGCTAAACTGACCCAAGATTAGCGTCTATGGGCAACTTCACCCTACATTTGTTACATAATTCTGATTGTTATGATAACCTGTCTCTCTCTCTCCCTCCCTCTGTCCCCAGGCACCTGAACCTGTCGGTGCGTCCCAAGCAGCTCCCGGCGTTGGTACGTAGTGGCGTACCAGAGGCCCTCAGGGGAGAGGTATGGCAGCTCCTGGCCGGTTGCCATAACAACGACCACCAGGTAGAGGAGTACCGCACCCTCATCACCAAGGTAGGCCGGACCCCTGACCTATGACCTCTGAGCTCTTACCTAACCTGACCCAGAGATACTATGTATATAATGACGAGATGGTCTTGTCTCCGTCCTAACAATGGGAGTCGTTGTCCCAAAGGCGGATCCCTGTATTCCCGCATGGACATATTTTGACGGGAGTGGACCCTCTTGCTTCCCCTCTGGCTGACCCCATTCACATTGTGACCCCTGACCTCTTACCTAACCTGAGGTCACAGTGTGAATGGCATAGCTTACTGATTGTTTGAGATGTTCAGTTTGAGCAAGATGAGGCGCAGAATCACTAATCTTGATCACGTTAAGTTATTTTGGTTGCAAACGTGGTGATTTGTAGATCAGTGATTCTGCGCAGTCCGACTGCCATGCAACTTCGTTGATCTCAAACACTCACAGTGTGAGTGGCGATGTGATTTATAGCCCATTATGTGACTGACTCATGTGGATGACTTGGGGAAACCTTTGATGTATTTACATTTCAACATTTTTTACATCATTATTGTAACTTCGGCACAGAAGTGTCCAGAGTGTTATTGAAAATGTTCCCACAGCGTTGGGAACATGGGTCTGTAGATCGGAGGCCTTGATAGGGCTCTCTAAGAGGTGCTGGGTGGTGACACTGGAATCTCCTGGGTGGAGAAGAGTATCACAACATTTGTTTAATTTGAGAGACTATGTTTATGTATTGATGGTCAGAGAGAGAGAGAGTTTGCGCACGTGCGTGTGTGTGTGTGTGTGTGTGCGTGCGTTTGGGTGTGCACACAAGGCATGCGTGTGTGTATGAGCATCATAGTCTGTGTTACCAATGTTGAGGTGGTGTGAGAAGAGAGGCAGGAGGCCAGGGAAGTGATAGCTGATTTTCCGTCAGGTCACATTAAACAGGGATGCTCAGCTCTGTGGTCGCCATGGCGCCCACATGCCTAGTTTGACCATGTCCCTAATATTTCAGGCCCTGTACAACCAAGGCCACAGCCCTGTAGACCTGATTACCCCGTCCGCCTAGAAAAGTTTTGATCCAAATTGTATGCTAGATTACTTTGACTAGTTGTCAAAGATTTTCTCATGTTTTATTTATTTAAGAGGTCTCTAGATTTTCCACAATGTGTTTGATACGATATAATTGAAAGTAGAACAGTTATTAAACTTTCCACGAATGTAATTTAAAACACAATCGGTCAATGTTTTGACCTTTTTTTTTTCCTAAAAGGAATTCAATTTAGACATCTGAATTTAATTTTGTGGAAATTATAAACAGATTTTGTTTTACAAGTTACAAAGAATGTTGGACGACCAGCTCTAATCATCTAAGTCATGTGACTCGATCACAAGCTCGACAGGGTAATTCTCACAAGCTCGACAGGGTAATTCTCACAAGCTCGACAGGGTAATTCTCACAAGTTCGATAGGGTCTTTCTCACAAGCTCGATAAGGTCATTCTCACAAGCTCGATAGGGTCATTCTCACAAGCTCGATAGGATCATTCTCACAAGTTCGATAGGGTCATTCTCACAAGTTCGATAGGGTCATTCATACAAGCTCGATAGGGTCATTCTCACAAGCTCAATAGGGTCATTCTCACAAGCTCGATAGGGTCATTCTCACAAGCTCGATAGGTTAATATTCATCATACGCAATAGCCTACTGGTGGATTGTAGCTTGTGTACAATGATAATGTTGTATAACTGCTGATGCTTGATACCGTAGGGTTGTTGTCATTGCTACATTCCTGTCACCTGCGTGTTATTCCACTGTGAGGTTAAAAGAGCAGGGACGATAAACCGTTCATTACGATAAGTAGCCTATACTAGAGAAATGTGAAGTTTAAAATTAAATACATTTGCTGATATGGGTGATTGTTAATGGGACAATTGATGGCTACAACCATCAAACTAGTAGTAGTAGTTGAAAGTAAACGACCAAAATGGATTTTTTAGGGCCAATTCCGATAACAATTTTTGGGGTTCAAGGAGGCTGTTGGTCGATATGTTAGGCAAATATTCAAAATCATTACATTTGAAAATTGTTATGAATTTCCCAGAGACAACCATGTATGCATTAATGCATAAATGTTTTAATCAAACAATACCTTTGACTTTGTTTTTACCTATCTAACTACATAACAACATAATGGTAATAATTGTATTTTAATGGTAAATCTCTTAATAAACTGGGTAAATTAAGATGGCATAGGCTTATTCACAACACCGGTGAATGCATATTCAATAGGACTGTGTGCATGCATTGAGTTATTGATCTTGTTTTGACTGATCAGTGGAGTCTATGGCGCTACAGATGACAAACAATCAGTTTGCCTTCCATTTGGGACTTATATTAGCCTACTAATCAACAACATTTGCATAGAAGCATCACTCCAGCATGTCACGCCTGTATGGAAGGACATCATATAGGCTGTTAGTTTGAGAATATAAAATAACATCTATTCAATGCAAATGGCTCCAATGTAACATCAAGCTGATCCTCAACACGGGGGCCCCTCAGGGGTGCGTGCTCAGTCCCCTCCTGTACTCTCTGTTCACCCATGACTGCATGGCCAGGCACGACTCCAACACCATCATTAAGTTTGCCGACGACACAACAGTGGTAGGCCTGATCACCGACAACGAGGAGACAGCCTATAGGGAGGAGGTCAGAGACCTGGCCGTGTGGTGCCAGGACAACAACCTCTCCCTCAACGTGACCAAGACAAAGGAGATGATTGTGGACTACAGGAAAAAAAAGAGGACTGAGCACGCCCCCATTCTCATCGACGGGGCTGTAGTGGAACAGGTTGAGAGCTTCATGTTCCTTGGTGTCCACATCACCAACGAACTATCATGGTCCAAACACACCAAGACAGTCGTGAAGAGGGCACGACAAAGCCTATTCCCCCTCAGGAGACTGAAAAGATATGGAATGGGTCCTCAGATCCTCAAAAAATTCTACAGCTGCACCATCGAGAGCATCCTGACTGGTTGCATCACCGCCTGGTATGGCAACTGCTTGGCCTCCGACCGCAAGGCACTACAGAGGGTAGTGCGTACGGCCCAGTACATCAGTACGAGCTTCCTGCCATCCAGGACCTCTATACCAGGCGGTGTCAGAGGAAGGCCCTCAAAATTGTAAAAGACTCCAGCCACCCTAGTCATAGACTGTTCTCTCTGCTACCGCACGGCAAGCGGTACCGGAGTGCCAAGTCTAGGTCCAAAAGACTTCTCAACAGCTTCTACCCCCAAGCCATAAGACTCCTGAACAGCTAATCATGGCTACCCGGACTATTTGCACTGCCCCCCCACCCCATCCTTTTTACGCTGCTGCTACTCTGTTAATTATTTATGCATAGTCACTTTAACTCTACCCACATGTAAATATTACCTCAACTAGCCGGTGCCCCCGCACATTGACTCTGCAACGGTACCCCCCTGTATATATAGCCTCCCTACTGTTATTTTATTTTACTTCTGCTCTTTTTTTTCTCAACACTTTTTTTGTTGTTGTTTTATTTTTACTTTTTTGGTAAAAAATAAATGCACTGTTGGTTAAGGGCTGTAAGTAAGCATTTCACTGTGATGTCTGCACCTGTTGTATTCGGCGCATGTGACCAATAAAATTTGATTTGATTTGATTTGAAGCCAGTATTTTTTTGTCATTTTCCGTGATCGGGATATATATTTTTCCCTAAACCACTCAGTTGTAAGGACGCAATTTGAAACAACTCAATTTGCTAGTTCATCTGTCAAGAAATGGGCAGGTTGTAACTTGGTCCTACTGCTGTGATTGGATACAGCGATATGGATTTTTGCAAAGGGGTCTTGGCCGACTTACTGTAAAGTAATTCTGTGACTGCTGATGTAAAAAAGGGCTTTATACATCAATTGACTGATAATTGATTGATTGAATGATTGCCTGAAGACCGCCTGTCAACCATAGAAATGGTCCACCATTTTGTGTCCTCACATTACACACATACAGTGCCCTGCAAAAGTATTCATCCCCCCCCTGGCTATTTTCCCATTTTGTTGCATTAAAACCTGTAATTTAAATGGATTTTTATTTGGATTTCATGTAATGGACATACACAAAATAGTCCAAATTGATGAAGTGAAATGAAAAAAATTACTTGTTTCAAAAAAAATTATAACGGAAAAGTGGTGCGTGCGTATGTATTCAACCCCTTTGCTATGAAGCCCCTAAATAAGATCTGGTGCAACCAATTACCTTTAGAAGTCACATAATTAGTTAAATAAAGTCCACCTGTGTTCAATCTAAGTGTCACATGATCTGTCACATGATCTCAGTATATATACACCTGTTCTGAAAGGCCCCAGAATCTGCAACGCCACTAAGCAAGGGGCACCACCAAGCAAGCGGCACCATGAAGACCAAGGAGCTCTCCAAACAGGTCAGGGACAAAGTTGTGGAGAAGTACAGATCAGGGTTGGGTTATAGAAAAATATCCGAAACTTTGAACATCCCACGGAGCACCATTAAATCCATAATTTAAAAATTGAAAGAATATGGCACCACAACAAACCTGCTAAGAGAGGGCCACACACTTTACAGAGCTGGGCTTTACGGAAGAGTGGCCAGAAAAAAAGCCATTGCTTAAAGGAAAAAATAAGCAATCACGTTTGGTGTTCGCCAAAAGGCATGTGGGAGACTCCCCAAACATATGGAAGAAGGTACTCTGGTCAGATGAGACTAAAATTGTGCTTTTTGGCTATCAAGGAAAACACTATGTCTGGCGCAAACCCAACACCTCTCATCACCCCTTGAACACCATCCTCACATTGAAGCATGGTGGTGGTGGCAGCATCATGCTGTGGGGATGTTTTTCATCGGCAGGGACTGGGAAACTGGTCAGAATTGAAGGAATGATGGATGGCGATAAATACATTGAAATTCTAGAGGGAAACCTGTTTCAGTCTTCCAGAGATTTGAGACTGGGACGCAGGTTCACCTTCCAGCAGGACATTGACCCTAAGCATACTGCTAAAGCAACACTTGAGCGGTTTAAGGGGAAACATTTAAATGCCTTGGAATGGCCTAGTCAAAGCCCAGACCTCAATCCAATTGAGAATCTGTGGTATGACTTAAAGATTGCTGTACACCAGCGGAACCCATCCAACTTGAAGGAGCTGGAGCAGTTTTGCCTTGAAGAATGGGCAAAAATCCCAGTGGCTAGATGTGCC